CTCGCCCTCGGTGGCGCGATACCATAAGCGGCTGAGTTTGTCCCTCACCCCCCTTGGTGCTGCGCGTTGCCACAACACTCCCAAGAGAGCGTGCCAAACTCTTTGGATTAGCTTCGCATTTGCGCCACACCAACGGCGACTGCTTGAGGCAGTGCGATCTCAAAGTGCTCTGATGTCGCGCCCGAAACCAGGTCTTCAACATTTAACCCTTCAAACGATCGATTTTCCGATAATTACGATTTAGAATGGACTTTTGCTTCCGGACTTGCGAAGTTTGTAAACGCTCACGATGGAATCGACGAATCCGTACTATGTCTCAATCTCAGACAAGCACACCAGAATAGTGGTGGTAATTTGTTACGATGTTTAAATGCCACCCTCCTAATCAAACGATAGTGCCCCTCAGTGCGTCCAACTTTAAAAAAATTAACGCAGACGATTTCCCGTTAAGACTTTCCAGCAATGTTCGATGGTTTTGCAATGTATGGTGGGTGTTGTGAACGCTTATGCACACCCCTTAATCCGGTCGCTCCAGCCTCTGACACAGGGTCCCCCTTTTCGCTGTCCATTGCCAGCCCCGCGGATCCTCAACTCCCCCCTCATTAGCGCGAACGATTATCCTCACACCTAGGTCCCGATGTTACCACATCTATGACTCACACCTGAGGCATAAATACACACGCGCAAACCCAACACACGACACAACAACTAGTGACCCCAACGTGATGAAATGTTCTTGAAATCCCATGACATGGGCAGTGTGTGATTTATTCTCTTGAAAGTTGTAAAGAAACGCATCAAAATCGACGCATAACTGAGCTGGCTTCCAATTGTTCATTCACAAGCAACTCTAAGATCGCATCCACCATATTTAGAGTTGAAGTTAAATTCACTGTTGCACCAAACCATAAGTAGATCAAGATTATATACTTAACATGATCACGAAAGGCAACAAAGAAACTTGTCTGAGGGTGATTAACCGTCGTGTGACACGAATATAACTTCTCTGCACTAAAATCAGTCACGGCACAGTCCAAAATTAACTCCAGGCAACGAGATTGAGATTTTGATTGGGGAAAAGGAAAATTGTCCGCGACAAGTCCGTGTCAACCGGGAGAGAAAGAGTCCTCACTTGGGAGGCAGCCCAAAGTTAATTAAGCCTACCGGTTTTTTGCTAATTAGATTAAAACGCTGGATGGGGAGATCATGACTGATAGAATGACGACGTCCGACTTGTGATAATAATAAAAAACTCCCATGTATGATTATTATGTGAAAAAAATAACCAAACAGGGTTAAGGTCTGCAATTCGCCTTGATGTACCTTAGGCCCGTACGACTCCTGCCTATGCTGCGAGAAATTGTGAGTTAAAGACAGTTAAATCGGTAATAACTGTTTTACTCTTGAACAAAATATTGGAGCATCCATATGCACAAGGAAATGCAACCCAGGCAGATTCATTGGGTTGAGTCGAGTCTGTGTATTGTGCGTGGATCATGGCTTCTTGTAATTACTACCAGATTCAGTTTGCCGTGAGCCGACTAGGTGAACAAAGAAACCCACAGAACAGCTAACAAGCTGCGAGCAGGCCACAACTTGTGCGATTAGGAAAGTGGTTGCATGGAACTGGTCTTCATTCAAGAAAACTTCTTGTTTTAACACACACACACATCTGTCAAGCGTCGCATCTTATGGGAGCGCATTGGCGGCACCTCGAAATGAAACTCAAAAACCGACTGAATAAACAGTGCCTGTGGTACATTTTCCCTTGAAGGAAACAGACAATCGACGTGGAAGAAAGTTCCCAGTGGTAATTAGACAGGCTTCCAACACGATCATGGCGCATCCCGATAGCCTTGCCTACCAAGGCCCAAGACAGGCCGCAAAATGGCATAGACGAGGTCTGTTCAACGATTTGCTGATGCATAAATACGTACAACGATCAGCAACGCTGGATCGCAACACTGAGGCAACGCCGAAAAACATAACACACACACACGCACACACACAAAATCAGCACCAATACGCAGTTAATATATCTGTACAAAAGTCTGGGGTGATGGGAATGAGGTGGTTCAGGTTAGGTAAATGCGATGGTAGTCGTTAGCGCCGAAGGTTGCATTGCATTTGGGGCACTTGCGATTGCGCGTCTCGTAGCGCGTCTTCAGGCAGTTGAGGCAGAAGACGTGGAAACACTTGGTCAGGATGGCGTCCTTCTTGTTTGTCTTGCACGTCGGACACGTCAGCTGTTCCTAGACGAAACAAGACAAACTCAAGATCGCACGATAGCACAATCAGACGGTAACCCCCAAATTTTCGTCGGCGAGCCACTGTCCGGGCTTGGGTGTCGTATAATGACACAGGACAGAGTTCGAACATACTTGTCAGATGAGCTAACCGAAACCGGTTGCAGAAAAATGCTAACTTCCATCCGAGCTCACGGCATTAACTGTCCAGTGTAGTAACACTGGAGATTTTCCGAGCTATTCATCTGGGGAAAAATGGCCATTCAGATCGGAGCGACTTTTCTCTAATGCGCAAGTTGCCCGTAGCGGATTCCAAGTGCGCCATGCATTTTTAATATGCAAAAACATTCGGCATCAACGGGAGCCTGGTCTTTCAAAGTGGAATAATTCAGCAGTTCATCACAAAGGGCGCGTTTGATTGCGAAAATGTCCTTTTTTTCTTACTTAATTCAAACCGAGAACAATGTTGGACTCGCAAGCTTGGTCAAACTAATTTTGGATAGCACCAACTTGAAAATGGTGGCACAAATGTGAAGAAAGCAGATTGAACAAAACAAAACCTCGGTATGATATAGCTGCACAATTGTGCACGCGTTAAAGAATCAGCAGAGAAATTCACGTATCTAAGCTTTCAAGAACCTGTCAGGGTTGCATTTCGCGCTTTCCCCCCAAAACCACCGATATTTACAAGCATTCGCCAGAAAATGTGGTTGGTAAACACGCCTTTCGGTTAAATTGTGCATTTGAGGTTTGTGTCAGGTGCTCGATGGGAGGCAACTTCCGAAATGCTGGACTTCGGTGAAATTCGATGCAAAGCAAAAATCGTTGTCTACGAGGAAGTAAACAAGAACCACGTGAGCTTCAATTGCTAGACGGACGATGGTGGCGTCCGAGGGCAGAGGTGATTTGGGGCTTGAACCACAAAACGCCAAATTCCAATAAATAAATAGGCTTTGGAATTTGCAAGTTTGGCGAACCTTGTAGTCCTGAATTTCGGCCAGTAGAACCTCATCCGCGTTGTGGGACTG